CGACCCTGGGGACAGGATGGGGGGCACCGGGAGTCCCCCATGCCAGACACCTGTGGGGTTGGGAGCAGTGAGGGGTCCTCCTGCCCCGGGTGGGGGTGCCCATCTCATTATCCCATCCCATTATCCCATCCCATTATCCCATCCCATCCCCATCTCTCATGCTCCAGACCTGGGGGATGCCCTGCCAGCCCCTCTTTGGGACTTTCCCACAGCTCCCGGGGACAATGTGGTGACAAAGGTGCTGCTGGGACCCAGGGCAAAGGTCCCGAGGGTTCAGGTCCCAGGGATGATCCCTTGGGAACGGGTCCTCCACCCCACACCACACAGAGCATCCCCAGCACAGGGGTTGGGTGCAGGGGGTGCAGGGGACAGGGACAGCCACGGGTGACCCCCAGGACAGGGCCATGGGCATGGCTGGCACCAAATCCTGGTGAAAATGGGGGCACTGGGGCGGTTGTGCTGCCAGAGGGAGAGAAACAGCGCTGGGGTGGTTAGGCTGTGCTGGGGAAAGGGGAGGGAGGGGAAGGGGAAAAAGGGCAAAAAGGGGAAAAAGGGGGTAAAAGGGGAAAAGGGGGGAAAAGGGGGGAAAAGGGAAAAAAGAGGAAAAAAGAGGAAAAAAGAGGAAAAAGAGAAAAAAGAGAAAAAAGAGAAAAAAGGGGAAAGGGAAAAAGGGAAAGGGAAAAAAGGGGAAACGAAAAAGGGAAAGGAAAAAGGGAAAAGGAAAAAAAAGAGAAAAGGAAGAAAGAGAAAACTAAAAAAAAGAAAAGGAAAAAAAAGGAAAAGGAAAAGGGAAAAATAAAAAGGGAAAAAGAAAAAAGGGAAAGGGGAAAGGGGAAAGGGGAAAGGGGAAGGCGAGGGAAAGGGGAAAAGGGAAAAAGAAAAAGGAAAAAAAAGGGAAAGGGAAAAAAGGGAAAATGAAAAAGGAAAAAAGGGAAATGGAAAAAAGAGAAAAGGAAGAAATTGAAAAGGAAAAAAGAAAAGAAAAAAGGAAAAAGGAAAAAAGGGAAAAGGGAAAAGGAAAAGGGAAAGGGAAAGGGAAAGGGAAAGGGAAAGGGAAAGGGAAAAAAGGGAAAATGAAAAAAGGGAAAGGGAAAAAAGGGAAAAGGGAAGGGGAAGGGGAAGGGAAGCTGGGCTGTGGGAGCACTGAGGGCTTGCAGGGTTTTAGAGGCTGATGGCATCAGGCTCCTTCCAGTGGGGAAACTGAGGCACAGCAGGAATTCCCTGCCCTGCAGGGAGCTCGGAAGAGAGCCCTGCACATTCCCTGCTCCTGCTCCTGGCCCTGCTGCCATAAATAACAAACCAAACCCAGCAGCTCTGCAGCCCAAGAGGGGTGAGAGAAACCCCCTGCCCCATCCATGCCCCCATCACTGACAGGATGGAAGAGGAGCAGAATTCCTGGGCCTTCCCAGTACTGTGCCCAGAGTCATCTCCAAAATGCCTTTTCCAGGCTGAAATTCCCTTGAAATCTCGTGTTCAGCAGGAAAAGGACACAAAATCTCCTGGGGGAGGTGAGGAGACCCTGAGGAGCGGCTGCATGGCCAAGACAGGGCAGGGCTCAGCCAGGGGATGCTCCAAGGTGCCACATTCCCTGTGTTGGGAAGCTCAGGGATCCGCCCTCATCCCTCTTACAGAAACATCTCTGTTTCTGCAGCTCCTACACCTCTGGCCTCTCACTGAAACAATCAGCAACACAAACCCAGGTGCACCAGATCCCTGTTCCAGACAGCCCTGAACCTGCTGGGATGCTTGGGAATGGGCAGGGATGTGGGAATGGGCATGGAGGGATACATGGGAATGGACATGGTCACTTGGGCATGGGCAGGGATGTGTGGGAATGGCACAAACACCAGGGAATGGGCACAATTCCATTACTCCAATTCCACAATTCCACTACTCCAATTCCACAATTCCAGGGCAGGGGGGGGACTGGGATGGGTTTGTGGTCCCTTCCAACCCAAATCCATGATTCCATTTCTATAATTCCATTACTCCAATTCCACAATTCCATTACTCCAATTTCCCAAATCCATGGCAGGTGGAGACTGGGATGAGTGTGTATGAGTGTGTGGTCCCCTCCAACCCAATTCCATGACTCCAATTCTAGAATTCCATGACTCCAATTCTAGAATTCCATGACTCCAATTCCATAATTCCATGTCAGGTGGAGACTGGGATGTGTTTGTGGTCCCATCCACCCCAACTCCACGATTCCCTTTCTGTAATTCCATGACTCCAACTCCACAATTCCATTACTCCAATTCCACAATTCCATGCTTCTATTTCCACAATTCCATTACTCCAATTCCACAGTTCCAGGGCAGGTGGGGACTGGGATGGGTTTGTGGTCCCTTCCGCCCCAACTCCATTATTCCATTTCTACAATTCCATTATTCCATTTCTACAGTTCCATAGCTCCAATTCCACAATTCCATGGTTCTCCTGCCTGCCCTTTCCCCTCTCCAAGGTGCAGGGGACTCATCCTGACTGCTCCATCGTGCTCCACTTCCAGCAGCTGGAGGAGGAATGTCTGCAGAGGATCCGGAGTGAGAGCCCCAGCCCGGGGCAGGCAGGGCAGGGTGAGCCTGGATCAGCTCCCTGGGAGCAGGGGGGAATCCTGAGGGGTGCCTGGACAGTGACCATGGGAGGGGATTGCAGAGCGCGCATGGGTTTGGGATTTCCAGGGAGATGGAGAACAGCACTAAGTAAAGGTCAAGGAGAATCCCTGGAGAGCCCCAGAAATGCTGTTGGCGTGGGATAGAGGGGATTGGGGGATGCAAACAACAGCCAGAACTCAACCCTGGAGGGTTTAGGGAATCCTGGAGTGGTTGGGACTGGGAGGGACCTCAAAGCCCACCCAGTGCCACCTCTGCCATGGCAGGGACACCTTCCACTATCCCAGGCTGCTCCAAGCCCTGCCCAGCCTGGCCTTGGGCACTGCCAGGGATCCAGGGGCAGCCACAGCTGCTCTGGGAAATCCATCCCAGCCTCTTCATGATTCCATTTCCCAATTCCCAATATCCCATCCAGCCCTGCCCTCTGGCAGTGGGAGCCATTCCCTGGGTCCTGTCCCTCCATCACTTGTTCCCAGTCCCTCCCCAGCTGTCCTGGAGCCCCTTCAGGCCCTGCCAGGGGCTCTGAGCTCTCCCTGGAGCCTCCTCACGCCCCCAGGAAGGGATTCATGGAATTTGGCAGTGCTGGATTGGTCCCTGCCCCTGGCAGAGTCCCCTCCATCCCCCTGCACCAATGCCAGGCCTGTGGCCACCAGCACCGGGGTCACTCCGTGGTATCACCACCTCACATCTGCTCCCCTTCCTAATTCAGTACATTTTACTGCCAAACATTTTTTTGAGTGACTCAGTTTTCCCATATCTGGGCTTTTAAATGAATTAACTGGTTGAAAAACCAATTTTCAAGTGCTGCTTTTGGACATCCTTTTTTAAAATTGCATCTCAGTTTCCATCCAAAAGTGGAATGGCCCAAATCCCAGGTAAAAATTGTCACCTGGAGAATAAGGGATGCATAATTCCAGGGGTTTCATCTCATAGCAGTGGAAAAATTAAGCACTAAATGCATATGAAGGTGCATAATTGCTTAAGTAACTCTGCAGAGATGTCATTTATCCTTCAGCTTAGCAGGGAAAAGCCAAATTGATTGGAAAAGGTCCATTTTGCAACCTGAACTGTGCCAGCCAAGGGGAAGGAACTTCACTGCAGGAAAATATCCAAGATGTGGGAATGCATAATTAATATCTGGGTTTAATCCTGGGGCTCCTGCTGCCCCTGTCCACCTGAGCTGCATCCATCCCTTTCCCTGCTTGCACCAGTGTGGGGAGCCTGACTCCAGGACAGGCTCAGATCCCATGGACGGGGAGGGAGGGCCCTGGGATTTCCTTATTCCTTATTCCTTATTCCTTATTCCTTATTCCTTATTCCTTATTCCTTATTCCTTATTCCTTATTCCTTATTCCTTATTCCTCATTCCTCATTCCATGTTCCTTATTCCTCATTCCTTA